CCAGATTCATTACAGTCTGCGCTTCTCTCTCCTCGCTGGCCGGTATCATCCATGCTCGCCGCTCCTCTGAGTTTAGGCCACACGGAGACGAAACGTATCTATGCAATTCCATGATCAAAGCCCATCTGGATATGCGCCAATTCGATCAGTGTTTCACTCTTTACAGAGACCTGAGGAGGGAGTCATGTTTTCTGCCCAATAACTTTACTTTTACGACGTTGGCGAAGTCTTGTGGTTTGGGTATGGCGTTTTGGGAGGGTTTAGGGGTACATTGTCAGGTATTGAAGATTGGATTTTGCTTGGATTTGTATGTCTCGACAGCACTGGTTGATATGTATGCAAAGTTGGGAATGATGGGTTGTGCAGGAAAGTTGTTTGATGAAATGACTGAGAGAAGTATAGTGTCGTGGACGGCTCTCATTTGTGGATACGCAAAATCTGGGGATTTGAACCATGCCAGGAAACTTTTCGATCAGATGACTGAGAGAAAGGACCCTGTGTTATATAATGCTATGATTGATGGTTATGTTAAATTAGGAGATATGGATTCAGCTCGAAGTTTGTTTAATGAGATGCCTGAAAGGAATGTGATTTCTTGGAGTTGCATGATTCATGGTTACTGCAACAGCGGTGATGTTGGATCTGCTAGATATCTGTTTGATGTGATGCCAGGAAAGAACCTGATATCTTGGAACACGATGATTGGTGGGTACTGCCAAAATAAGCAACCACATGAAGCACTGAAACTGTTTCATGAATTGCAATCAAGCATGCCATATGAACCAAATGATGTAACAATTGTAAGCATCCTTCCTGCTATTGCTGATTTGGGCGCTCTTGATTTGGGTGGTTGGATTCACCAATTCGCTAGGAGGAAGAAACTTGATAAAGCAACCAATATATGTACTGCCCTTATCGATATGTATGCAAAATGTGGAGAAATAGAAGAGGCAAAAAGTGTTTTTGATGAGATGCCTGAAAAAGAAAGAGCTTCTTGGAATGCTTTGATAAATGGATTTGCAATCAATGGGTGTGCAAAAGAAGCACTGAAAATGTTTGAAGAGATGCAAAGCAAAGGAGTTAAGCCAAATGACATAACCATGATAGGTGTTTTATCCGCATGCAGCCATGGTGGCCTGGTGGATGAAGGGAAGAGGTGGTTTAAAGCAATGGAGGATTTTTCTCTTACCCCCAAAATAGAACACTATGGGTGCGTGGTAGACATGTTAGGGAGGGCAGGGTGTTTGGAGGAAGCTGAAACTTTGATCAATAGTATGCCCTATGAGGCTAATGGAATAATTATGAGTTCTCTTCTGTTTGCATGTGGCTTCTCAAAGGATGTTACAAGAGCTGAGAGAATCCTAAAGAAGGTAGTCAATACAGAGCCAAGTATAGATGGAAACTATGTCCTGTTAAGGAATCTTTATGCTGCAGAGAAAAGATGGAGAGATGTGGAGGAAATCAAGGGATTGATGAGAAGGAATGGGGTTAAAAAGGAAGTCGGTTGTAGCGTCATTGAAGTTGGCAACAGGGTTTCAGAGTTTGTATCAGGGGATAGAGTACACCCAAACTGGGAAGCAGTAAGATCAGTGATTGAGCAGTTGTGGATGCACATGAGGAGACAAAGTAACTATTCATCTTGAAGAAGACTTGCTGGCCGGAGTTGAGACAAACCCCGGCAAGTAAGAGAAACATGAACTTTTAGATTCACAGGCTGTTTATCAAAATTCACTCACGATTGTCTTAGCCTGACCTTTATACTAAGATGACAGACACTACAATCATTGTATATTGTATCTCTGTTTCGTCAAATTTATATACTCATGATTTTTATTCCTTATTTTCAAGTTGGTTAAAACTATTTCCTGCAAGTACCGATAACCAACTAACAACACAATAAATACATTAAAAAAAAAAAAGAAAAAAAGAAAAGGAAGAGATGCAAGTGGAGGCGCGTAGTTCCACCGGTCTGCTTTGAGCGTTAAGAGATGGCAGGTACTGGTAGTTAGCCAGTATCTCAGCTCCGACAGTCTTATCTGATTGAGGTTAAGACCGGTAGTTGGGGGCAAAACAATTTCTGTCGCTTCTCGTTTTCCTCTTTTAAATCTACTTACCCTTCTTGTCGTTCCAGCATAAAATTAGAAAGAGTTGATGCCTCCTAAGTTGTCCGGTTGCATGCTTTCCTAGGTTCTTGGGTAATCTATACCTGTTGGCACCAGTCAGCTCCAACTCTGAAGCAAACGAATTACCTTCTCTTTTTCAACGACAATGGCTTCCTCTTCTCTTCCGCTATCAACTGTAGTCTTCTTCACTGTCTTCTTCTTCACATGTGCTCTAATCCCTCTGACGGGCTCCCTTCCTTTCGTAGTTTTGCATGGTAATCTCCCTTTGTTCTTGCTCTTGTAACTAATTTCTTGGTTTTGTCATATGATTATTGTTGCCTTTTAATTCCAGCACATTCTGTGGTAACAGCAAACAAGTTTTCTATGGGGTTTGTTGACCTAAAGTAAAAGGTTGCCATGGAATTATGTGAAGAAAATCAACATTGATTCTTCAGTTCTAGCTCTTAATAAACCCTCATAAAATGTATATAAAGAGTAGCATACTTTTTTAGGCTCTTGTTTAAGAAATTTCTGAAATACATGGTTATTTGCTATCCACGGGGGATGCTGATATTTGTATCTGGTTTACGGCAGGCATTAGTGATAGCTGCAAAGGCAAAGGAGTCGCACGCTTCACAGAGCTTTTAAGCAACTGGTCCGGTTCTACAGGATACTGCATGTATGATACTATGATATTGTTTTTATATTTGTTTTAAATTTTTCATCACTATGAGTATCCAAGTTTTTGTTAAGTAATCTGTCCAAATCATGATCAGTTTGATATATGTTAAAATGTCATGGAAGAAATACATGTCAGTTGGATATTTAGATATTTACTGGTTTTTTGCATTTATTTATTTATTTATTTTTATTATCTCAACGCTTCTAAACTGTGTCATATTCCTTTTCTTAGAAGTGAAGTTCACAATTTACACTATATGTTGGAAAATTTAGTGACATCCTTTTTATGGATAACAGAGAAATTGGAGATGGTTCATGGGATTCATGGACTATGTCCCTTATGGAGCAGGTGATTTTTTTTGAGTTTTTGAGGGTTGTTCATCATTCCAAGTCCTTCGTACTTGATTTTTCTTAAAATAAACTTATTGTAATTTCGTGCTTGCAGATGGAAATTGCTTGTAAAAAGGTCGTAAAGTATCTCGGTAAAATGTTTTCACATGGATGTTTCTGCATTTGAGGTTTTAACATTTTTTCCTACAAATTTCTGCTCCACTTAACAGGTGAAGAGCATTAGTGAACTGAGTGAGGGTTTCAACTTCGTTGGACTTTCTCAGGTGACTAACGAGGATTAAAGTTTCCTTAATTCCCAAAAAACAACCTCATTACCTTATTCTCACACTCTGTACATAAATACTTTTGTTTGCACTTGCATACCTATTTCCATACGGTTGGTAAGGAACAGGGTATTATACATTTTGATTACACGTGATCCTTTTTTCACAGGGTAATATGGTAGGCCGAGGGATTCTGGAATTTTGTGATGGAGCACCCCCTGTAAGAACTCATTTTAATGAAAAGTCTGATCTTGCATCTAGCTTTTAGTTAGTCTGTCATCTCACTGGTATGCATACAACAGAGTTGTCAACATGCACACAAAATCAGAATGATCTTTGTTTCTCTACAAGTTGTTGAACAAATGCTATAGTTTTTAAGTTCTTCTCTCTTTTCAAAATATTGCCAAGTTCCTTTTTTCTTCTAACTTAAAAATTGACATACATGCTCCTAATTTTAACCAATTCTGAATCAGGTGAAGAATTTCATATCACTGGCAGGCCCTCATGCTGGTATTGCTTCAGTTCCATTTTGTGGAGTGAGTGCTCTTCTTCATGATACATCATCCCATTACTTATTCCATTCTTTAATTTGTTTGGATTAGTGAATTTTCTCATTCATAAAAATTAAAAAGAAAGAAAAGAGGAAAATTTTTCATAGGATTTAGGAAGATACCTATGTGTGTTTTGTTTGTTATAATGGCAATACAAGACTATTAATGCAGTTTGTTTTGACATATTATGTCCCTTTTGCAGTCTGGTCTGGTATGCATTATTGTGGATGCTTTACTCGAGCGAGAGGTTTACAGCAAGTATGTTCAGGTACAATATTCTTGTCAACTCTCAAATCTCCTCGTTGATACCAAGCTTGTTGATGGGAAGAAGGAAGCGCAATATGCTCTAGATGAAACACAAATGAAGTGATGAGATACCCTCTATCTCAACTTCATTGTTCTCTCTTCTTTGACTACCTCAATTTGTTTTCCATGTTTTTCTTATTGAAGCCAGTTTTAATACCATCTTGAATGTGTATACATTACAGGAACACTTGGCTCCTAGTAATTACGTTAAAGTCCCAACTGTGAGTATTCTTCTTTATTTAGACAGGAAACATCTTTTGTTCCCTATTTACTTATATTTCCTGCTTTCTTCTTTTTAATGTCATTTCTTTTCCCCTCTCATATTGAGTCAAAAAAATTGCATGTGATACCTTTCACTCTTTCAAAATTCATGTAAACTCGAATTTTTTTATGCCTTCTGTGTACCACTTGAAGTCTTGACTTTACTCTTTAAAGTTAGATGTCTACTTTTTAATACACATTGTTTTCTCCAGGACATTTCTAACTATCTTAAATCATGCAAATATCTCCCAAAACTTAACAATGAAATCAAAGCTACCAGCAATTCAACTTATAAGGAACGGTTTGCAAGCCTAGAGAATTTGGTACTCATCATGGTAATGTTGAAGAGCTCCTTCTGCTCCATAACATTTCTCTTCCAGCTTCTGTTCAGTAATCTGTAACTTTTGTCCCCAGTTTTCCAGTGCTAACCTACTCTCTTTCTTTGCACCCATGAACAGTTTGAAAAGGATACTGTTTTGGTACCTAAAGAAACCTCCTGGTTTGGTTATTATCCAGATGGGGCCTTTGATCCTATTTTGCCTGCGCAAGAGGTAAGTCTGCTTTCATCCTGCAGGTTTTTGCTAGTGATTTTTAATTTGACAACTTAGCTGTTTTATATACAGACCGAGCTCTACATTGAAGATTGGATTGGATTAAAAACCTTGGATGAAGCTGGCAAAGTAAAATTCATAAACGTTTCTGGTGGCCATCTTGACATCTCTGAAAGTGACATGAAAAAGTACATTCTACCTTACTTGAAGGACCAAGAATCTGAAGAGATAACAACAGCATAAAAAACATCCTTGTTTGGATGGTTTTCGACAATCTGGCACTTGTTTATGAATCTATTCGGGTTTAATGAGCACCAGCCATTGCAGCTTGCTATGTACTAAAAGGGGGGAAAAAAAGGGGAGAGCCAGGCTTTATTCTTCCATGCTGCACATGTTTTGGTTCTGTACCGTCATTTATGTGGAACATACCCCCTCTGATTTTGTAATACGAGATCAATATTTGTCATTTCATATGCTGCCTTCTACAATATCATTCAATGCAAATATGAAAAATCTGGCACACAGAAAAACACCAAGAATTTTTGGCTTAAAAAATAAACTGTCATTAATTCTGGCAAATACTGATACAGACACAATTAAGTCTCAATTGACATTTATGACTCTATAGGAAATGTTGTAATAATGAATACAGATTAACGAAATAATGAGGTATAAATTTAGATCGGTTCCCCAAGTAAAGATCTGTTTACAAGAAAGGGGAAAGAGATTCACTTGAACCTAAGCCAGACTTCAGACAACTAACACATTGGAAAACAGAAGTCGAAGACACAAAACGCTGATTGGACCTGCTTTGATGGATCTCTAGGGCAGAAATTACAGACCATAAAATCTTCTTATGGCATTTGATGTCCATCTTCCATCATGAAATATGTACTGCATTTATTATAAGGAAGGTTCTCCATGGTGGTGTTCGAGGTTGCGAAGTACAATCTTTGCAAAGATCTTAGCCCCAAGAGGGGCAGTTGCAGCTGCAGCTGCAGCACGTAGAACCCGCGCTGCTCCAGCACTTTGCATAAGGCTAGCATGGTGAACAGCATGCCGACCTCCAGGAATGGTGAACTGCAGTTAAAGATTTGGAGACATTTAAAAGCTTAGTTCTAATTAGCAATATACCTTATGCAGTTATGATGCCTGAGCAAAAATCATTTTTAATGTAGGACCTAAGACTTTAGAATCAGGAGTAAGTTATACCTGGAGTAGAGCAAATGCAGCACATGCCTTGAGTATGGAAGAAGGATTTCTGAGCATGGTGATAAATCTACCGATTTCAGCTCCGCTAAGGAATAGAGAAGATTTATTCAGTTAAAAAGAATAGCATTACACACAGACAGATCGATAGATAGATAGGTAGTGGATCAGTTTGGAATGATTATAAATTTATAAACACTTGACCAACTTGTTTAGAACTTAGTTGATCATAGACAACATCAAATAATTCAAACGAGCATAGCTCAAGAAAATCAGCATCATAATTTATCACATTCAAGTTTGAAATCAAGTTGGACATTTGCTAGAGAGGAAAGGCAAGGGAAAGAAAACCTGCATCTCAGATGTCCTGCTTCTTGAATACGAGCTCTTTCTGTTACTTGTGCTAATGCTGCAGGAGCTGACGAAGCAGCAGCTGCTGCAAATGATTGTGGATCAGAGAAAGTGAGAACAAAAGCTTCAATGTGCTTCAATGCCATTCTTTTAGCTCCATCTAAGCTCACACTCTTGGATGTGCTTTCTGACAAGGGCCCCATCGGTGCAATCTCATCCATTCTGTCAAAAATAATCCAACAAAAGTGAACATGCAGATCATCCTGCCAAGAATGTTCTCACAAACAAAATGATGAAGTAAAAACCATCATTTTCATGCACAGTGGTAGCCAGCTGAATTTATCAAGATTAGTATCAATGAAAAACTTACCATGAAAACACAAGATAAATGTCTGAATAGAGAAACCAATTTTAAGTGAACAAGCAGAGAAAAGGAATATAGAAAATAGGGGCACCAAATTGGCCAGAGTTATAAACTAGGCAGCAATGAAATACCTCCCATCAAACATGTAAGCTAGTGCCAATGCAGCCATGAAGCGGGCCATTTTTGATACAGATGAAGTACAAAGATGAACAAGTGCAGGAACTCCCCCTTCTTCCACTATTCGGAGAGCATTACCAGGGTTAAAAGCCAGGTTCCAAAGAGCACCTGCTGCAGTCTCATGCACATCCTGAAATAAAATGCAGATGTTAAACATCAACTCAGAAGCCTCATGCACAAGGGAAAAAAAAAAAAAACTCTCCTTTTTGGGGGTGACCTTTAAAATACTTACCTCAGCATCAGAGCGAGCAAGTGCAATAAGGGGTGCAACACCTCCTTCTTGTCCAATTGCAACACTGCAAAGACCAAATATATATTATTACTCATTAGATCCTAGAATATAATAAAATATCTTTACAAAAAAGAAGATTAATCTAACATGCCTACAAGGAGCATGATAAAATCAATATACATTATTGGGGAAATGCAACAGCTGGGAGAAATCATTTGATCCAGTTCAGTACATATATAAGCAACATCCAGTTTCTCATCCATGATACTACACTAATTTTGTTAGGCCAACTTTGATATTAGTGAATTATTATCACAGTGCAATAATCAAGAGAGAGACAGAGAGATGATGATGACAAAAGGTACTATAATCAATGGGGCATATGCTCCTCTCAACTTAAGCCTCAGTTTCTCAGAGCACAAGAAACCCCATGAGGGACAAAGTTGAGAATTCTTGTGATCCAACCTTTTCCCACTTACGAGTTGTATTAGGATATCTTGTGTGTGTGTGTGTGTAGAAATTATAAATATACCTATTTGCTTCAGATACAGACAATCCCCAAAGAGCACCAGCTGCTCTCTCTTGAAGACCTGGTGAGGCATTTGCACAGGACTGTGCAAGGGCAACCTGAACAAACACAGATGACCTCAGTTGTCAAAACCGTGCCAAAGGCGAGCATTACCAAAAAAAAAAAAAACACTAAACTAGGTAACTTTTATCATACCAATGCTTCTACCCCCCCAGCTGCTGCAATTGATTCTCGGTTTCTGTCATCAAAGGACAAATTCCACAATGCACCAGCAGCTTCTTGCCTGTTTTCATCAGCAGATACCGTATTAGATGTCCAACCCATTGAGGGACTAAAGTGAAGTCCATGAGTTTTATCTGATTCTCTTAACCGAATCAGACTCTCAGGAAAAGTGCAACTGAGAATCCTCTTAAACTTAACAATAAAAACTATGCTTACTATCCAAAACAGGAAAAAAGAAAAAGAAAGGATATGCTCATCCAATAGTATATTCTGGAAAGACAGATAGATAAAATTAATAAGTGAAAAAAGGAAAATTACTGGTATAAATATCATCAGATCAATTGATGACAAAATTCTATTAATTAGACTTGACAGATAAAAGATTCAAACTGGTAAAATAAGGTTGGTTTAAATCAAGATGATAAGTACCTGACACCTTCATGAGGAGAACGTGTAAGTTGAACAAGGGCTTCAAGAGCACCTGCCTCTTGTCCAACAGCAGCATTGTTATTATTGCTATCTCCATGGGCAGCTAAATTTGCCAAAGCACGAGCAGCCTAGGATGTGGCAGACATGAAATTAATTTTTTGCAACAACTTACATAAGCTCACTCAGATGAAGGGATGGCAGGATGCACTGATGCAGGAAGGAGAAAGGAAGGGAGGAGAGACGATATTAAGATAGCATGGCAAATTCAACATGTTTGGAATATTTAATAATGAAGAGCATTAAAGAATACATGCAGGATATGTATCATGACTAATTCATTGAAGCAACGCACATCCAAATGCAAAGCACAACAAAGCATACTTGAGAGCTAAAAAGTATGCAGGTTCTCCCTATTAAAACAGGTTGCTTGATTCTTATTAAGAAAGAATCTGCCAGTTATATCAATCTAAAGTTCAATAGCTGTTAAAATATCAACAACTAAACACTATAAGAAAATATCCTTGATCGTTCATGCATGGCTTTGCTCAGTTTTTGTCATGTTAGCAAAAGAATGTCCCAAAATCAGACAATATGAAGTGAATCCACTTCAATCTCCATTTATCCAGCTCTATCATGTGATACAAAAAAGGTAATCTAGTGATTATGCAGAGATGAGATGCAGGATAAAAAGTTCTTCCTTAATTGGAAAGATGTAGCAGTACCTGCTCTTGCACTCCCTCAAACTTGCAATTACGTGCAAGCATCACCAAAGCATGTACCCCACCTGCAACTGCAACTTCCATACTACACTTGTCATCAGCTGCCAAATTTGCCAAGGCACCAGCTGCACGCTCCTGAGAACACAAAAACAAGAAGCTGTCAATAAACCAACAATTTATGTTGCTGGCTAGTGGCCTACAAACAACCAACTAGATTAACAGCAATCTCATCACAAACGAGTCAATTTTGGAATATGGAAGTAAAAAACAGCACACAAACACAACAGACTGCAGTTAAAAAGAAACATACAAGAACTCCATCACCACCAGAGGACCATTTGAATATAAGATCAACCAAAGCTTTAACTCCGCCAGCCTCAGCAATGGAACCCTAATTTATTTAAAAGGAAAAAAAAAAAAAAAAAAGACCAAAAATTGGTTAAACTAGATATCAAGACTTAAGAACTTATACAATATGATGATATGAACAGTAGGAAAACAAGTAACCTTGTGCTCTTCTCCTACAGATAGATTCCATAGCCCTCCAGCTGCCTCTTCAGCAACCAGCCTGTTCATAGACCTTGCCAACCCAGCAAGGATATTGATTCCTCCTTCTTCAGCAACAGCTTTTGCAACATTGGCATTAACGGACAAGTTTGCAATAGCCTACACAATTTAAGATGTTCAATTAATTAACGTAAGTTAACATTTACATTTGAATAGCAAGCTGAATGTCAGGGAATAAATCAGTTATCTTAGAAGTCTAGATACTAGCTGAATGATAATAATGTGAGCTAGAGAATTGTTGTAAACAATGCATTTCATCAGAAACCAAACCATATTTCTACTATTATTGTTTAACAGAATTATTTAGAGGACAATTGGATCTCACAATAGCTAAACATGCAGTCAAAATTTCCTACTACTATTAAAAAGGACAATACCTTAGCAGCCTCCGACTGAAGCCCTTCCCGCCAAGATTTCGCAAGATTGAGAAGAAGACGGATCCCACCATCTCGCATGACTGCCTCAGCCCTTTCACAATCTATGCTGGCATTTTCGTCATCAATAACAACAAAAGTTGCAAGTCCAGTTGCAGCCCTTTCTTGAACATCTTCTTGTGTGCTCTGCATTAAGCTGAGCAACAGTGCTGCCCCTTGCTTGAGCCAGAAATCATCCAGACCTTGTGGATTGCTCTCAGCAGTACGCAAAAGTGTGTGGGAAAGGATCCATTCAATCCAAGTCATGATCTCATCTAAGTTCCTATCATTGTTTTTTGAGTTCCTCCAATCCAAAAACAGATTCTTTCCTTTCACTGTAGTGTCAGCAAATAAAGAAGACAGTTCTTTTAAAATATCTGTAAAGAGAGCAAGTAATAGCTTGCCTTTGTTTTTACTGGTGCTGAAGCTTGTATCCTCTTCAAGAACCGGACAATTCAAAGCACACAAAACCTTCAAGCTCTGGGATGAAGATAATAATCTAGAAACAACAGTTGGACCAATACTAGTTCTTGAAACATCTAAGCCAATCAATTTGGGCAACTTGTGCCAACTACTTGAAACCACACTCCAGTCAATATTGGATGATCCAGCAACTGAGAGGAAACAAACAGATACTACATTTCCCAAGGCTGCCTCATTGACATTTAGACAATCCAAGAACCCAATATCAATCAGATCCGGACAATGCTTGGCCAAAGCATTGATGGACTCAGCACTAACATCCCTTATCCCAGACAACCTAAGTTTCTTCAACTTTAGGCAGCAAAAAGCAATTGATTTTATAGCATCACTAGTGATCCTCTCACAGAAGTCAGGCCCAAGCTGAAGACTTTCCAAAGCCTCATGCCGAGCCACAATTACAGACAGAGTAGCATCAGTTATTTTTCTGCAGTAATCACCACTTATTTCACGCAAATTCCTAGCCTTAAGATGAATTATTGCATCAGCAGACTCCGCCCCACGAAACCTAAGCTTTTGGAGATTCAGGCATCTAGAAGCAAGTGAAGCAGCTATTGCAGCATCAAATTTGTGAGCACGAATATCCAATGAACTCCATAAACACTGAGAAGCACCCAAAACCCTCCATGTCCTACAAGTTGATGAGAAGCTTGCCCTGTCCCGATAATTCAAACACGAGAACAGCTGAATCACTGTGTCATCAGGCAAGCATGTCCAATCAACAGCGCCATTTCCCTCCGGACCTATATACTCCTCTTCAATTTTCTGGCAACCTAGAGACACAACCTTCCCCTTCTTCTCCACCTTCCGCCGAACCCTACGACTCATACCTTGATCAAATTAAGAATACGAAGATACTTAAATTCTTTGGCCTCAAGCACCTAACTCCCAGGATCCATATAAATAAACGCTTCAAGCTCAAATACCCAATTCGCAAAACCACTAAACAAACTCAGATAGACCAGACTTTCACATCAAAAACCCTAACCCTCGAACAGGCAATAGAATTGAATGTCTATCACCAAAAAAGGCGAAGAAAAAGAAAAAAACAATACCACAATTTACAAAGAAGAATTAATTGCTTCCAATATCAAAAACCCAATAAAATCTTGATCCAAAAATGCACTGCAAGGAAGAAAATCAAATTACTATCTCATTCCCAAACCGAAAGCTCGGTTCTTCCTGGGTTTCCCGGTAAACCCTCAAATCTTCTTACTTTTTAGATTGAATCACTTGCGTTTTCTTATTTTACTGCATTGAAGAGGGTCCAATGGAAGTACCATGGATGAGATAGATGAATACGGAGAGGAAGGGAAGGAGAGAAACAAAGCTGAGGAAGCGTCGGAGAGAATTCAGGCGAGCATATGAGATATAGATATAGCAAAGCCAAACCCTCAAGGCAGCATGTGTCGAAATTCCAATTTTTGATTTTTCTTGTGTACCAAACAGGATTTTAGATGGAGAGATGGGCTGACACCGTGAGAAAATTTACAGCATTGAATCATGGAACGTCGGTGTGAGACTACAGATCATCCAATCTCACCATAATCACTTCCGCATTGTATCATCTCCTGCCCCCATACCACATTGTAACATGCACTTCCATTATTCTGTACAAATAAATGTTTTCTTCGTAACAATCTAAATTTCTTTTTTTTTTGTCAATTTCTTTTGGGACCAAAGTATTTAATCAATTATTATTCAAAAAAATCTTTTAATGTTGGGAAAAAATAAAATAAAAATGTTATAGTTACAATATCATATGATATTATAAGAATATAATATAATGTATCATTATATAATATAATTAGTTAGTTTCATTTAGAGATTTATTCATGATATTTTATATTTGTATTTTTTATTTATTTATTTAATATCATGTTATATTTATTAAATATAACGTTATAATTGTAAATTTAAAATCTTATTTGTTATTATAATTATAACATTACCAAAATAAAATACAATATTAACCGTATGGTTGACTTACTAAATAATTTTACAAATTTAAAATCTTATTTGTTATTATAATTATAACATTACCAAAATAAAATACAATATTAACCGTATGGTTGACTTACTAAATAATTTTACAAATTTAAAATCTTATTTGTTATTATAATTATAACATTACCAAAATAAAATACAATATTAACCGTATGGTTGACTTACTAAATAATTTTACAAATTTAAAATCTTATTTGTTATTATAATTATAACATTACCAAAATAAAATACGATATTAACCCTATGGTTGACTTACTAAATAATTTTACAAATTTAAAATCTTATTTGTTATTATAATTATAACGTTACTAAAATAAAATACGGTATTAACCCTACGATTGACTTACTAAAAATGCCTATTTATTGTTGAATGCAATCTTAAGACACTCCCTTTCTGTTAGGTTTTGTATGCAAATTTAATCTTAGATTATAATAATTTTCTATAACATGTAATTTAATCTTAAGAGTATGTTATTTGTTGATTAGTTGATGTGTATTAAACAATAACGATAGTTTAACAAATTTGACCAAAATTTATGATAAATTTATAATAACGTGATATTAATTTAATATCATATTATTTAATATTACATTATAATTATAAATTTTAAAATTTTATTTGGTATTATAATTATAACATTACCAAAGTAAAATACGATATTAATCTCATGGTCGACGTATAAAATAATGTCTACTTCTCCTTGAATGCAATCTTGAGACACTCACTCTATGTTATGTTTTTGTATGTAGATTTAATCTTAGATTACAATAATTTTCTAAAACATGTAATTTAATCTTAAGAGTATGTTATTTGTTGATTGGTTGATGTGTATTAAACAATAACGATGGTTAGACTAGTTTGACCAAAATTTATGACAAATTTATAATAACATGGTATCACGTTATTTATTATTATATTATAATTGTAAATTTAAAATTTTATTTGGTATTATAATTATAACATCACCAAAGTAAAATACGATATTAATCCTACGGTTGACTAATAAAATAATGCCTATTTATTGTTGAATGCAATCTTGAGACACTCACTCTGTGTTATGTTTTGTATGTAGATTTAATCTTAGATTACAATAATTTTTGAAAACATGTAATTTAATCTTTTTTTTTTTTATCTTGGTTGTACAATGGGAAATAACCATTTCTCATCCCTTATCTCACCCCACCTGTATAACATACGATTCAAATTTAAGATTTCTTATTTTCCAACAAAAAAAAAAAAATGACTACTGAATTAATTAAATCGTTAACAAACATGTAATTTAATCTTAAGAGTATGTTATTTGTTGATTGGTTGATGTGTGTTAAACAATAACGATAGTTAGACTAATTTGATCAAAATTTATGAAGATTTATAATAAGTATTAATTATGGTGTAGATCTTATATTATATTAAGTCACATCATCAATTGTTAAAAAAATTGTCTTAAAATTGGATCACGAGCAAATGATTTAAATAACTCAATAATCATATCTTTCCACTAAAAATAAGAGATCATGAATTCGAATCACATGACATGTGAGTAGAGTGAGATAAAAGATGAAATAAGGGATGAGAAATGATTTTCTTCTACCGTGCAACTAAGATAAAAAAAAAAATGATCACAAGAATCCTTACTTTGAATAATAACATTATTTAGACTAAGAAGAATGATATTTGCAATGATAAAACCAAATTTTAGGACAAAAATAATAGTCTTCATTGATTATGGTGTGGATCTCATATGAATATACATAAAAAATTATTTAAAAAATTTTCATTCCAAAATTTGTTTTAAAATTTAGTCACAAAAATTATTATCTTTTATTTGGATTGGATTGTTTATCATTCTAAAATTCCCGTCATAATTTCAAATAATATTTCCATTGGATATTAAATTTGATTACAAACCAATTCGTTTTATATAGAAAAGACTTTATTCTTCTGTATGAAAATTGAAGTCTTATGTTTGAATAATAAAGGCATGAGAGGGACCTCACTATCAATATTCACTTTAATTTCAAGAATGAACATCAAAAGAAACCTTAATTTCAGAAATTAATGTAATAATCAAAATTCCTCATTAGTTAAGTAAAATCCCAAGCACTTGGACCTTCAGTCCAGTGACATCGAGCTACATTTAAAGTGTATTCTTCTCCTCTTGAATAACGGGTAATTGTTTGAATTTGACCTCTTGTAAATTTGTTAAAAAA